GGGAAGCCTTGAGCCTCGACGACCACCAGCAGTTATTCCCAAACCACCTGCAGTGTTCTCTTCCCCAGCGTGAAGAAAGAGAACAAATATAACCGCCTTTCTTTTTATTCAGGAGACTAACAGAATGCTTCTGATCAAAGACAAAGCTGCTCAACAAAGAGAAGACACTTGTTTCGGATGTTTCCTGGGTCAGTGAGGTGGCTCAGTGGGTATCGGCGCAAGCAACAAGCCTAAAGACACCAGGTTGAGCCTCAGGACCCACACGATGGAAGGAGAACCAAGTCCTGCAAACTATCCCCTGGCCTCCGCGCTCATGCCATAGCATACGCGCCCGTGCGTGTACGTACACGCGCACGTATTTCCTTAATGCATACAATACACCTTTTCAAAAGGAAAACTTTACAAAGGACGGTACCTGAAAATGGCCGGCTTGCAGACGTGCTGCGGGTCCAAGGCTTCGCCCTGAATGAACTCGTAGCACAGCCCGTTGTTGAAGGTGCAGTAGAGCTGCGGCGCACAGCCGTGAGCCTGCAGCACGCGGAAGCTCTTCACTTCCTCGTCTCGGTCCACGAGCAGCTCCGTCTTATTGCCGTAAATCCTCACCAGAACCACGTCCTCCATGGCGTCCCCCACGTAGCAGCCAATGAGTTTATTCGTGATCCCGTCTGTGAAGAGCTGCGGAACCGGGAGAGGAGCATTACGCGTTTAGAGAGACTGGGAAGGAAGACACTTGAACATGTAAAATGCTAACTGAATGCAAACACAGCAGTTGGGGTGCAGCTCAGTGTCAGAGTACAGGCTTAGCATATGCTGACCCTGGGCTCAATCCCCCAAAGCCAAGAACACCTATTTTTTAACAGGAAGGCATCTCTGGAGGGCGGGGCCAGAGCTCAGTGGGAGGGCACTTCCTGCACCAGTTACGGTCTGGCCCCCACCACCACCCATGACGCAGGAGACTGAGGAGCTTGAGACAGCTTCCAGAGGGCTCGTCAGACATGCTAGGTATACATGCACACCAAGGTGACAAACCAGGGGGATGGAGGGAGCAACAAGTTAAAAAGGGTTTTAAAGCTGACTTAAAAAATGGTTCTGAACGGGTATGGTGGCACACCTTTAACCCCAGCACCTGGGAGGCAGAAGCAGGCAGATCTCTCTGAGTTCTAAGCCAGCCTGGTCAACGTAGTGAGTTCCAGGCCAGCTGGGGCTACAGTGAGTGCTTTATTAGCCAAGCCTGACAATCTGAGTTCAGTCCTCGGAATCCAATGATGCAAGGAGAGAACTGCCCCTACAGCTCTGCAGCCTCTGCTTATGCTCCATGGAATGCACATGCCCACACACACAGACAAAAAACAAAGAAAGTGTAACCTAGAAAAATGTTTTCAACTATAACCTCAAACATCCAAGAAAAGCCAGGTGTGATGTCTTACACATGGAATCCCAGCTCTCGGAGATCCTGAGTTCAAAGCCAGTCCAGGCTACAAAGCGAGTTCCAGACAAGAGTGAAACCATTCAAGCTCTTTGACTCCCTCCCGACAACCCCCCCAAATACAAAACAGTTTGAGAGGCAAAAATCTAAGCAATTACATTAAATGCAAAAGAACACAGTAAGTCAAAGAGTAAGGTCAGAAAAAGTAGCACACATTACCTTCCCCAGAGATCTGCAGAGTGACACGAGGCACATGCTTGAACAGAAGAAAGAATGCACTGAGTCTGACACAAGGAAAGATTCCCTCAGACTGGTGAGCTGGCCAGGCTCTGAGGACTCCACTCCCAGGTAAGGAAGCATAGAGGCCCATGGCCAACTCCTACAGTGGGAAGGGGGGAAGACCGCACAAGAGACAGCCTTCCCAACACAGCAAGACTACTGGGTGTTTACAACGACATGTAGTAACTAATTAAGTTGATAACACATAAAATACTAGAAAAAGGCGACTCTTATAGGCTAAGGGTATAGCTCAGTGGTATAGTATGGCTAGCATGCATGTGTAGCCTAGGCTGGACACCCCCAAGCTGCCCACTACAGATCAAGAAGCTAGGAAAGTAACCTAAGCCTGGTAGTGGTGGTGCCTGCCTGTAAATCCCAGCACACCACGGGCTGAGGCAGGAGGATCTCAAGTTCAAAGTCAGCCTGAAAAAAAAGCCTAGAAATCTTGAAAAACAATAAAAAACACCTTGGCACAACCTGTCAACAGGAAGAAGCAACGACACATACTTT